TGGGTATCTGCTGAGTCCCCACTGCTTCACTTTTCATTCTGGTCCCTGCTAATGGCCTACTATGGGCAAGTAACAGAAGATGGCTGAAGTTCTTGGACCCCTGAATCATGTGGGAGCCTGGATAAGGCTCCTGGCTCCTGACTTTACATTATCTCAGCTCTGCCACTGTGGCATTTGGGGAATGAACCAGCAGATGAAAGGTCTCTCTGTCTTTTCTTCCCTGTGTGTATTTCTGCTTTTCAAATAAAAATAAGTCTCTTTTTTTTTTTTTAAGAAAATGAACCACTCCTCACTAGGGTGTGGAAGATTTCTCTGCACACCCCTCCTAAAACTGTTCTGCACCTCAACTGTAGACAAAGGCCTGGTTAGATCTATAAACCAGTTTAAGACTATCCTAAAATCTACCAACTTCAGCAAAATTATGTGTCAACACAATAAACAGCTAGATACTAAAATGAAAACAGACATGAGACAGCTGCATAGTACCCTACAGCCACTTTAAGGCATATAGCAGCCAGGGCTGTGTACAAACACAAAATGAAGGGTCAATGAAGTAGTCACAGGAGATGGTTAAGAACTTGCACTGTTATAATGTATTGATTACTCAATACTATGTCAATTAATTCCATAATGTTGTAAATTGTTGATGTTGTGCTGGGGCTTCTAATTGATCGGGACAATATTCTGCCAGCTCTACCTTCAGACCAGAGAAGGTCTCCTTAAGAAACTGTTGAATTTATCTGGACAATAAGATGCTGGACTCTATACTTGGTATATGATTGCAATGAAAAAAATCTAGACTTAATTTGAACTGTAATACTGCAACTAGGTGGAAGAATCCACCAAGGGGGAAGGGCATGGGGAGGGGATGGGGGAATCCCAGAGCCTATGAATCTGCGTCACATAATGCAATGTAATTAATACAAAGGAAAAAAAGAAAGAAAGAAAATGAACCAGCAGAGGAAAGATCTCTCTCTTCTCTCCCATTCAAATAAAACAGAATCTGAAGAATAAGCTCTCCAGGACACCTTCCTTCCCTTACTCTCGATTTCATTCCACTGTCCTGAACCAGGGCTGTGTCACTCCTCACATAGTTTTACTTGAGAGACAGAGAGCTGGAAAATGAGAAGGCTGGGTTACTCCCCAGACACCCAGGATGGAGCTCAGTGCAGCTCTCCTGGGTGGGCAGCAGGGGCTCCCCACCTCTGAGCCCTCACCTGAGGCCTCCTCAGGTGCCCACTGGCAGTTAGTTGGAGTCAGGAAGAGAGGCAGGCTTAGAACTCAGACACTCTGGCATCTGGGCAGCTGCCCCTGAGCTGGGTTTGAGGAATCTGGAGGCAAAGAGGAAAATGTGAGCAAAGGCAACGAATCTAGACAACGTGTTCATGACTTCTGTGTATGTGTGTGCACACATGTGCCCACGTGCATGTTTGCATTGCCTTTGCTTTGCTTTGTGGTGTGTCCAGGGACATAGAGAGGGTCTGAGTCTGTTTAGTATTTAACCCCTGACTCAAACACCACGGCATGTGATGAGGTGAGCTGGAGGCTGGGGTCCTGAGTCCCAGTCCCAGCTCTGCAGAGGCAGCAGTGTGAACTGCAGTAAATCCCTTCTCTTCCGTGGTGCTCCCCTCCCGACAGCTCACACTCTTGGATACCTGATGTCATCTCTTCCATTGTGTTGTAAATGAGGCCTCCTGCCCTCCTGGCCCCAAATCTCCCGCAAAGAGAGCAGCTCTCCCCAGGTCCAGCCTTTTCCTGGGGCTGAGCTGCTGACCAGGAAGTGGGAAAGCAGGATTTCCTGAGGCTGTTTCCTGTGACCCAGACGGTTCTGGTGAGGGGAGCGGAGAGGAAGAGATAGGGGGCTTCTCCCAGCTTTTAAGCCTAAAACACCTTTTTGTGTTTGATGTGTTTCCTCTGTAGAAGCTGAAGTTCCTTTAAAGCAAGGAGTATGTCAACAGGGAATTCAGAGCTTTAGCGATAGCAATTCAGAGGTGGCGAAAGATGTGGTGATAACCCTTCCAACAGATGCGATGGGTCAGCATATCAGAGAAACACTAAAATCCTATTTTGCTTTGAAGAATATTAAATATTATAAAAATGGGGCCATCTCCTTTCCCTCACCTGTGCCTGGGGCATCCTCCAAAATCATTCCAGGCCTAACACCATTGCGCTCTCTTGCTGGAAGCCTTTCCCTGCTCTGAACGATCAGCTCCTCTTACATGGCCTACTGCTGTGCCGCCACCATCACGTTGTGTGTTCACAGCTTGTCAGATGCTCAGGGCCAACCTTCACCACCAAGCCTGGAAAATGAGATCCGGCCGGTCCGCTGTTGCTGCCTGGGGCAGAGACACCAGAGAATCTCAACCAGACGACCTCAACCGCTGCTCTCTCTCACTTTTGGTGTTCTAATGCTTTTCTCTCTCTCTTGTAATTCCCTGCCCCCGACTCCTCCTTCAAAGCTACACAGATTCCTACTTCCATGTTTTACAAATTATTCCCTCCTTAAGAACCTCCCTTCCTCCCCACCTTTTTCTCCTGGTGCTCCTAAAATATTATGAAAAAAACAAAAGTCACCATCTTTCTGAATACCCTTCCTCTCAGAACTTGAACTGGCATTCCAATATGGGATGCCAGTGTCTGCAAGTGATGGCATAGCCTGCTTTGCCACACCACCAGCCCCACCTTTCTCACATGTTATCTGCTTTTATTACAAGCATTTTAACGGACTATAATGCTATTGCTTGCCTTTCATTTTTAAGCAATTTTTTTTTATTAGCAAGACAGTGACGAAGAGGGAGAAACGGAGATCTTTGATTCTTTGACTCCCTAAATGGTCAAAACAGCCAAGGCTACGCCAGGCCAAAGTCAGGTGCCTGGAGCCTCTTCTGGGTCTCTCACATATGTGACAGGGATCCCAGTACCTGGACCATCTTCCTCTGCTTTTTCCAGAACATCAGCAAGGTGAAGCAGCCGGGTCTGAAACAGGTACCCATCTGAGACATCAGTATGGCAGGTGGCACCTTTACTCACTATGCCACAGCACCAGCCCATTTGTTTGTTAGACTGAATTCCTACAAGTCCTGTTTGTCTTCCTAAATCACCTTCTCAACAGGATCAACACCATACACCCGTGGAGTGACCAGTGTGAAGGAAGGTGCTGATATGGACAGGGAGGGCCGGAAAGCAGCTGTGCTGGGCAGGAAGATGAAGCTGGGTCCTAAGTGTATGATGCTAAGTGTCTGACTTAGGCTGCTTCCATCCACTTTTGTTTCCTCATCTCTCAAAGCAGGATTGCCACGCTTACCATCCCTGCTGGAATGGGGTTTTTGTTGTAAGGCCTCGAGACACTCTGTGGGAAAACTTTGGAACATGTGACTCAGTCTGCAAGCCTTCACTTTGCTGACATGCCATCGCAGGCCTGAGGGCCTCTCAGTTCCTCTAAGGGCCTGGTTCTGTCCTTGTGAGCAACGCCTACAAAAGTGCACAGGCCAACATCTGTTCCTCTCACCTCCTGGGGCCCTTACAGTCCAGCCTCACTAATGGCTTCTCACAACGTAAAAACCACGGAAATAAACCCTTTAACATTAACAAAGTGGGATCCAGGAACTTCAGGACTCGGGTGTAACAAACAGTAGCATCTGCCCCTGGCTAAAGAGCATAGCATTCCTTCTAGAAGGAAAAGCAAGCAGGGCAGCTCGGGGAGCAGTAGTGTTCCAAACGCATTCAGCTCAAGATCAGCTCCTGGTGCGGAGCTCCACATGCATCAGGTCAGAGGGGCATAGCTTCTTGGGCCTTTAGGCCGTTGGCCCTGGAGTTACCCAGCCCAGTTGCAACCTGCTTGCCACTGACCTGGGCAGGATAATCCCTATGGCTCTTGCCTCATGCGGGTCAGCGGAGGTGTAAGTGAATGTAGGCATTTAGGACCCCTGCAGACACGAAGTTCAAGAGGAGAGCTGTCATGTGGACAGTTTGGCTCCTCTGGGTCTGGAACACTCTCTGGATAACCCTCAACCTCCAAGATTTGTTTATTTGAAAGGCAGAGTGACAGAAATCTCCCATTTCCTGGTTCCCTCCCCAAATACCCACAACAGCCAGGACTAGGCCAGGTCAAGTCCAGGAACTCCGTCCAGGTCTCCCATATGGGTGGCAGCCACCAACTGCTCGAGCCAACAACAGCTGATTTTCCAGGTACATCAACAGGAAGCTTCATGGGAAATGGAATAGCTGGGACTGACTGGAGCACCAATATTGGCTATGGCAGCTTAACCCACAGTGCCACACCTGTCCCACATGCTGGCTTTTTAATCTTACACTCTCAGAATGTGTGTGACTGAGCGAACCTGCTTTAAGAATCTTTACAGTCGGGCCCAGCGCAGTAGCCTAGTGACTAAAGTCCTTGCCTTGCACGTGTCTGGATCCCATATGGGCGCTGATTCTAATCCCAGCGCCTCTGCTTCCCATCCAGCTCTCCGCTTGTGGCCTGGGAAGGCAGTCGAGGATAGCTCAAAGCCTCAGAACCCTGTACCTGCATGGAGATCCAGAAGAGCTTCTGACTCCTGGCTTCGCATTGGCTCAGCTCCAGCTGTTGCAACCGCCTGGGGAGTGAATCAGCAAATGGAAAATCTTCCTCTCTGTCTCTCCTCCTCTCTATGTATAGCTGACTTTGCAATAAAAATAAAGAAATCTTTTTTTAAAACAATGACACAGGTCTGGTGATGAACAGATCATAGGTTGTCATGGTGAGAGGGATGGTGTGTTTTGAAAGTGTGGCACTGGGACGCTGCTGGTGATTGGCACTGGGACGCTGGTGGTGATTGGCACTGGGACGCTGCTGGTGACTGGCACTGGGACGCTGCTGGTGATGTGACAGTTCTGTATGCGGACGGTAGTGGCGGGTCACTAGTGTGTACATGGTAGCATTTCAGAGTTATACATCAAACAGTAAAAATACAGGTTTGTAAAAACTCATGAGTCTTGAGAACCTGTGGCATTATCATCATCTTCAATGACAACTTCATGGCTTTGATAATGTCCTATGTTTATGTCAAACATTATCATGGTGGGGGGCCCTGAGTTGGAGTACAGCCAAACACTTCGTATTATTTTGGAGAGCTTAAAAAAAGTAAGGAAGGATGGACCACAGCAGATAACAAAGGAAGACTTTTTATTATTAAGTTCTATCAAAATATTAAGTCATTTGAATAGCTCAGCTTTTAAAACATACCCAACAATTTATCATCCTATGGCAACTAGTGCTGTACATCGAGAATGTCACATTAATGTAAGCCCATCACACGGCACAAATTTTACTTCCACGCTGTTACAGATACATCTTAAGAGGAAATGCTGTCCCTGTACAAAAGATTTTGTTATTTAAAAAAGATAACTATTTCCCTTAAACTCAAGAAGGGCTGATTTTTTAATTTTAACCTGAGTCATGAGGCCTCCATGTTCAGTAGGTGACACTGGGTAGATGCAGAGATCTGACACGCCAGGACAACGGACTCACTTCCTGAAGCACCCAGTAGGAAGAGGAGTGCAGATTCAGAAGTATGGTGTCTGCAGTAACTGACCTCACGTGGATGACCAAGTCACCCGGCCAGCTCTTTGCAAACGGCCGCCACCAAGGATGAGCCTGAGTGCTAGAATGACCGCGAATCTCAAAACTACCCAAAGGCTCTGGCTTCCCACAAGGGCAGGAGGCTAAAGGTTTAAAACAGCTTTGGCAGCTGCCTGAGACGCTTTACATCTAAGAAGGTGCCTACTGAATTCATGCTATTCATTTGGTTTAAAGTCTCAGAAGGCTGCAAACTTTCTGGGAAAACTAGAACCTTCCTTTCATTTTCCTTCTCAGGGTGTTGAGTAAACTCGGCTTTTCCAGTCCGGAGGTTCACTGCAGGGCTTGGTTTAAGCTTCGTTAGGCAGAAATCTGGGTTTTCATTCAACTGCTGTTTCGCTTTTGGTGGTACAGCTTCATTTGTAATATTTCTCAACACTGGCGTGTCTGGGTGGGTGCCCACAGACTCATAGCTGTAGCAGTTAACTACCTCACAGGTGTTCCTAGAAGACACTTTCTGATGACTGAGCTGTTCGGCCATGGCTGTAAGGTTTTCAATCAGCACGGGTTCACTCTGGTCTGTGCTGGTGGGAGGCTCCTCCTCATCTTCACTATTGTCACTGCTTTGTATGAGTCCATATCTCTTCATGTATTTTTTGGTTGCAAATGACATGTTGCTTGGTGAAATTAAACTCAGCCCAACTGTACTTCTGTCCCCATTAAAATGCAGAGGGCTGACCGAGTCACAGTGATTTTGATTTGACTGATTAAGAGATAGTTGTGACAGCTGATTTTCATTTAAGTATTTCAGAGCTATGGCATTTGCCTCCATGCTCAAGTCCACACCGTTGGGGCTTAAACCACTCACACCAACATTAGCAAATGACATGTAGTTTAGTCCAGAGATCACTGCTTCCGGGCTGATGCACGCCAATACACTGAAAGACACAGATAAGACACATTATTTGGCTCATTTTTCCCACTATTTATTCAAAAGGCAGAGCGATCCGGATAGAGCTCTTCCATCTGTGGTTCAGTCCACAGATGCCTACAAAGCTCCACGTAGGCCATGCCACAATTAGGAGCCCAAATTCCACCCGAGTCTCCGATGTCGGGGGTGGGGCCCTGTGTATTGGAGCCATCAGCCGCTGTCTCTAAAGCGCTGGGGTCTGAAGCAGAGCTGGGACTCACACTCGGGTACTCAGCAGTGGGAGAGTGACTGCTGCCTGCCTACTTCATTTTACACTAAGCAGTACCCTTGATGTGCTCCACTCCATGGAAGTACAAAGGCTTAAAGTGCATAGTGGTTTTGCATATGAGTACTCAAGACATCCAAGTCTTGAGCCAGACCCACATTTCAGTAATAAGTGTGACAAACTGTAAGGTAATTAATGATTCACAAAACTGAAAGTGGAAACAAATTAATTCCCTAAACTATGTCTCAATCATGATTTTAAGAACAAATATAAGGCCACAAATAAGTGATTAAATAATATTGTGTCATTTAATTTTCTACTATTAACTCCAAATTCCACAAGATGAGCTAATTTTCAATATAAAGTAAAACAAAAATAAAATCAAGGGCTGGCTCTGTGGCATAGCAATAGAACCACCGCCTGCAACACCTGTGACTTATGTGGGCATGGGTTTGATTCCTGACCGCACCACTCCCAGTACGGCTCCTTGCTGGTGTGCCTAGGAAGGCAGCGAAGGATGCCCCAGATGCTCGGGCCCTTCATACACACTGGAGACCAGAAGGAGGCTCCTGGCTCTGCCTGGCCCCAGCTGTTGTGGTTGGAAGTTCTTTATTCCCTCTCAGTAACTCAGCCTTTCAAATAAATCAATAAACATCTTAAAAAACAAAAATCAAATCAAACACAAACATGTGATGATACAATAGTACAAACTTTGGTAGATGCAGCTAGCATTGTGGCACGATGGGTTAAGCCACTACCTGTAATGCTGTCATCTCATGGGGGCACTGGTTTGAATCCCAGCTGCTCCATTTCTGATCCAGCACCCTAATGCGCCTGGGAAACCAGTGGAAGATGGCCCAAGTGCTTCGGCCCCTGCACCATGTGAGAGCCCTGAAGTCCTGGCTGTTGTGGCCATTTGGGAAATGATCCAGTGGAAAGAAGGTCTCTTTCTATGTAACTCTGTTGGTCAAACAAATAAAATTCTTAACAAAAAATTTTGGGGAGGGGGGTAGCCTGGTGTGTTAGCTTAGTAGCTAAATTCTCACCTTGAACACACGGGGATCCCATATGGTCACTGGTTTGTGTCCCTGTGGCTTCACTTCCCATCCAGCTCTCTGCTTGTGGCCTGGGAAAGCAGTAGAGGATGGCCCAAAGCTTTGGGAACCTGCACCCACACAAGAGACCCGAAGGAGCTCCTGGCTTCGGATTAGCTCAGCTCTGGCCATTGTGGCTGCTTGGGGAGTGAACCAGTAGATAAAAGATCTTTCTCTCTGTCCTTCTTTCTGTAAATCTGCCTTTCCAATAAAAATACATAAATCTTGCTAAATATCGAAAAGCTCCATCAACTAGTCTCTGAATATGGGTTGGACATACACAAAAATTCTTTTATCAGATGTGATCTTCAAATCACTTTACTAAGCTTTAACTCAGTTGAGTTACCTTTTCCTTTATATCAAACACATAATTAAAGTAGCTAATTCTTCTTGAAGCTTTATGTATGTGCCATGCATTCCGCTAAATGTCTTACATGCATTAGTACATGTATTCCTCACAGTAAAGAGGTGAGTTCTCATTTAAACCATTTTTTTTTTTAATTGGGAAGGTAGATTTACAAAGAGAAAGATCTTCCATCTGCTGTTTCACTCCCAAGATGGCTGCAATGGCCAAAGCTGAGTGATCTGACGCCAGGAGTTTCTTTTGGGTCTCTGATGTGGGTACAGAGGCCCAAGGTTTGGGCCATCCTCAACTGCTTTCCCAGGTCACAAGCAGGGAGCTGGATGGGAAGTAGAGCAGCTGAGACATGAACCAGCACATACATAGGATCCCAGTGCATGCAAAGCGAGGATTTACATCACTGAGGCCATCACTCGGGGCCCTCATGTAAACATTTTTAAAAATTTATATTTACTTTACTTGAAAGGCAGAGATAGACACCACACACACCACACCACATAGAGAAGGAGATCTTCAGTCAGCTGGCTCACTCACCAAATGTCTACCACAATAATCAGGGGTGGGCAAGGACAGAGCCAGTACTGAGGAACTCAATCATGTGGTGGCAGGGACCTAGCATGCTGCATCCCATTGTGTGTATCAACAGGAAGCCAGACTCAGAAGCTAAGGCACTCCAGATGGAATGTGGGCAGCCCAAGCAGCATCTTTACTGTGCCAAATACATGCCCCTCTCCATTTCAATCTTACTCTCCACTTCAATACCTTCTATACCATTTCCCCTATTTTTCTGCTTTTTCTTTAGCACTTCCTGTTGTCTAGGATAGCGCTTTATAGACAAAAGGAAGTGCTAAAGCAGGACTGGAAATACAACAGCTGCGACTTGAAGTGGCACTAGTATGGGATGTTGGTATTACAGACAGATGCCTAACCACTATACTACAATGCCTATTCCCCTGGATGTTAAGATTTTTGTTTATTTAAAAGCAAGAGTGACAGAAGCAGAGACAGAGAGAAAGTGATCTTCTATTCATTGATTCACTGCCCAAATGGTTGCAATAGCCAGAGCTGAGACAGGCCGTATCCAGGATCCTGGAACTCCATCTGAATCTTGCAAGGGTCCAAGCACTTGGGCCATCTTTCTCTGCTTTTGCAAGCACATTAGTAGGGAGCTGGATAGGAGGTGGAGCAGCTGGCTTGAATTGGCACTCTGCTCTTAAATGGGATCTGGTATTTCAGGCAGTGGCTTAACACACTGTACACAACATGGGCTCTCATATATATGCTGTCATATCTATTGATGCATTTAAAAAAGATTTATTTATTTTTATGGGAAAGGCAGAGAGGAGGAGAGACAGAGAGGAAGAACCCATATGGGATGCTGGCGCGTGCAAGGCAAAGACTTAGCCACTGGGCTACAGTGCCAGGCACTGACGCATTACTTATTTTTTTTTTTTTAAGGATTTATTTTATTTTTATTGGAAAGGCGGATATACAGAGAGGAGAGACAGAGAGGAAGATCTTCCGTCCGATGATTTACTCCCCAAGTGAGCGCAATGGCCGATGCTGTGCCGATCCAAAGCCAGGATCCAGGAACCTCTTCCGGGTATCCCACGCAGGTGCAGGGTCCCAAAGCCTCGGGCCGTCCTCGACTGCTCTCCCAGGCCACAAGCAGGGAGCTGGATGGGAAGTGGGTCTGCCGGGATTAGAAACGGTGCCCATATGGGATCCCGGGCATGCAAGGCGAGGACCTTAACCACTGTGCCACCACGCCGGGCCCCACATTACTTATTTACTCGCTTCCTTATAACAGCCGACGAGGACAGGGATTTCTGGTTTTTTTGTTTGTTTGTTTGTTTGTTTTTACCACTGCAACAGCCTCTTTAGAAAATATTTGCTGGTTTTGTGGTGGTACAGGTTAGGGTATAGGGGAAAAATCTGGTGAATGAATAAAGTAATAGGCACTATCATTTTCCTTAGGCTCAGTTGAAGAAACTAAGGAGCAGACATGCTCAGTAGGCTGTCTCCAAATTTGCTGGCAAGTGGAACACTGGCACCTGGATCTGCGCTGCTCCCAGGCCTGGGACTACTGCCCCAGTAGACTGTATTCAGCACCTTGTACTTTGCTCTCAGAGCTCTCTGTGTGCTGTTTGTTATGGTAAATGCTATATTCCAGCCAAAGAATACTCAATGACTTTCCCTATCACTCTATGAAGAAATTCAGCTATTCTACATGTGCTGGCCACTGCTTGTTTCCGCAGCTCCCCAGAACACAAATAACATCCAGTGTTTTCATTCTTATAAGCACCAGAAATTTGGAAGAAGCCATTTCCAACCAGTGATGACATCAAGAAATAATGGAAAAGTATGCTCCATAATCTTAGTCTTTCTAACTACTTTGAAATTGTCCCTTAATGTTCTTGGTACTTAAGTAAAACAAAATGTGGACGAGACACTACACAATTTTTCTACATATCACTTCTATTTTTAAAGATTTACTTATTTATTTGACAGATGGAGACTGATTTTTCATGTGCTGCTTCACTGCCCAAACGCCCAGGGCAGGGTTGGCAGTAACTCTTTCTCAGTTTCCTGCATGGGTAGCAGGCTCCTCATTAGAGTTGGATCAGAAGTGGAGCACCAGCATGGGATGTCTGTGTCAAAAGTGGCAGCTTAACGTGTTGTGCCCCATGCCAACCACAAGACAGTACCCTTTAATGACAACATTCGGTCATAGTGCCTTCTGAAGAGGCTTTTTCTAATTTTTGTCCATGTCCTCCAAATGATAAACAATTTGCAGGTCAAATAAGAAAACTGGTATACTTTTTAAAAGTATGTTTAAAGTATAGCATCTACAGATAACATTAATGAAAACAAATCAAAGCAAAAACTTCTAATAAAAAATGCTAAATATTTCGAAATTATAAAAGAAAAAGATTTAATTAGATTTATTAATTTTTATTGGAAAGTCAGATATACAGAGAGGAGGAGGGACAGAGAGGAAGATCTTCTGTCCGATGATTCACTCCCCAGGTGAGTGCAACGGCTGCTGCTGTGCCAGCACCAATCTGGAGTCAGAACTTCCTCCAGGTCTCCCATGCGGGTGCAGGATCCCAAGGCGTTGGGCTGTTCTCAACTGCTTTCCCAGGCCACAAGCAGGGAGCTGGATGGGAAGTAGAGCCACTGGGATTAGAACTGGCGCCCATGTGGATCCTGGCACATTCAAGGCGAGGACTTTAGCCACTAGGCCATGGTGCCAGGCCCTAATTAGATCTGTTTTAACAGAATGGTAAAAAGATCTACAAAGCAGTCAGTCTATTTAGAAGCTTCCTCATGTTTTGTTGTTTAGTTTAGTTCCCTAGCTTCAGCTGGGAGATGGGGATGGAACACCACAACTTTGAGAGTAAAGGCCTATTAGTCTTACTCAGGACCAAAGCCTATGAACTCTTTATAATTAATATGAAAAGCCTCAAAGGAGGCTCTTGCACTAATCAAATCTTAAGTGTCTAAAGAACAAATATACTGTTAGAATCTCATTGGTTATGCAGTCACAAAAGGATGATTGAAATCCATGAATAAGTTTGTCTAAGAGTTACACACCAACAACTAAATGAACGAAGCACAATTGTTCTAATTTACTTGAAGATGAAAATCAACCTTAATTTATTGTCCTGTCTGAATCCAAATTAATTATCTCCTGCTTTTTCAACTAACAAAGGAGAGCCAGGAATCAGAGCCTATTTAAGACACATACTGAATTCAAAAGGTCACTCCAAGTTGGAAACCTGCAAGGGACTGCAGCCAGATCTCAAACTTAAAACAGTCTCCATCTGCTGCACAATCTCTAGGTGACTCTGGGACTCCTGTGTCCGGCCTTCCTGCCTCTGGACTGAGTCTCAGCCATGTTCCAGAACAAGAGAGTAGAGAGGAGATCTTCCTTCCCTGCCTCTGCTACTCTTTTGGTAGGAGTATTTGCTTTCAATACAGAAGTGGAACATGAAAGGAATTTCAATGCAGAAAAATGATAAAAGATAGCTGGTTACAGAACAGAAGGGACAAAGGTTACTTTTCCTGGAATACCTTACCTGTCACTTATAACAGTTTCCATGGGAAAATGTGTCTAAAATTCTAATAACACAAAGTCATACTGACAATGATATTGCAGAGATAATGAATGCTTGTTGTGACTTTCAGTGACAACTCAAATGGTTGTGATTTCATTCATTTAGCAAGTGACTCATTGGAAGGCCCAATAAATGTGGCAGACAAAGAGGACCCACCACCACAGCCACTGTGCTGCATCGTAGTTACTGGCCCTTGGGTTCAGCCAACCACAGACTAAAAAATACTCAGGAGAAAGATGCAACTATACTAAATATACACAGACCTGTGTTCCTGTCCGTATTCCCTTTATAATTCAGAATAACAACTACTTGCAAGGCATGTACACTGCAGTAAGCATTACAATAGTAATCTAGAGATGATGTGAAGTACGCAGGGCACAGCATGCCCTCTGTAAGGGATATGAGCATTCACGGATCTGGGTACCTCGGGCAGGCGGATCCTGCAATCAGTCCCCATGGACAGGAAGGGGACTGCCATATAACACTCGATCAATTACTGGGCGATTCTCTCAAGCACAAATTACATCATCTGTTAAGAAAAAGGTGTTTTGAGAATACAAAATTTCAAGTTTCTGAGATGGCCAGAAAACCTTGAAAAAGTAGATGACATCTGAGTCCAGCTTTGAAAGATAAGAATCCTGGCAAGCAGAAAAGCAAAAAAGCATCTCAGATAAATGTAATAAAAAGAACTTCACAAATGCCAACAGCAGGCAGGCTGTAAAACCACCAGCACACAAAACAGGACTTCTTGTATGTTAGTGAAACAGCTTCTGTGCGGTTGCCTTTTCAATCAAAGTAATACACTGACCATATTCATAATCAGCAAAAGAGAAATTTTTCAAAATTTCAGGGTATTTCTATATTGGATGAAGTTAATATGGTACAAAAATAATGCTAACGTTAGTGACCGTTCCTGTGCACTTTCCTATCAGGTGTGAGAATATTTTATCTTATTTTTTTATTATTTTTCTTTAGGTATGAGAATATTTTATAACAGACTATCTGTGCCTCTTTCCCACTGACTACAAGCTCTATGAAGACAAGGAAGCTTTTCTAATTGGAAAGTAGTAAGAAATAAGCAGAGCCTGGTACTACAGCTTAATTGGATAATCCTCCTACTTGAAGCACAGGGATCCCATTTGGTACTGGTTATTGTCCCAGCTGCTCCACTTCCCATCCAGCTCCCTGCCCGTGGCCTGAGAAGGCAGTGAAGGATGGTCAAAACCTTGGGACCCTGTACTACATGGGAGACTCAGAAAAAGCACCTGGCTCCTGGCTTTGGATGGGTTCAGTTCCAGTCACTGTAGCCACCGGAGAGGGAATCAACAATGGAAGATCTTTCTGTGTCTCTTCTCTCTATCTGCCTTTCCAATAAAAAAAAAAAAAGTAAATATCACTTAAAAAAATAAACAGAAACATATTCATCTTAAATAATATAATGTCCAGATTTCATCTTCCCTTTAATAAGTATTCGCTGAGTCAGCTCAATGAAGGACACGACCAGTTACATGTATTTCTGGAAACAGGAATTTTTTGCTTTTGTGCAGCTGGGGTTAACATAACGGAGGAACATGGCCAGTAACATGCCCTGAAAATAGTTCTGAGAGGTCATATATAATGGAGCCAGTTTCTCCATTGATGGTTTACCCATCAAACAAGGTTGGTGACATTGGCAACTCACAGCTGACAAACATCATGCCTAAGTGGGAAATTTCAATGTAGAAGATATAACAAACGAGCCTAACTAAACACGCATGTGCGGGCATCGGAGGGCTTTCAGACATTGCCAGTGAGACTCATTCCTTTCCAAAGCAGGTTGCTGCCGTATCTCCCCAGATGGCATCCTACAGTCTCTTTTAAGTTATTCATATATCCAATTCACATGAGGACTCAGGCCTGGAGCAGTGGCATAGTGGCTAAAGTCCTCACCTTGAACGCGCCAAGATCCCATGTGGGCACTGGTTCTAATCCCGACGGCCCTGCTTCCCATCCGGCTCCCTGCTTGTGGCCTGGGAAAGCAGTCAAGGACAGCTCACAGCCTTGGGACCCTGCACCCGTGTGGGAAACCTGGAGGAGGCTCCTGGCTCCTGGCTTCGGATTGTCTCTGAAGTCATTTGGAGAATCATTGGATGGAAGATCTTTCTCTCTGTCTCTCCTCCTAACTTTGCAATAAAAATAAATAAATCTTAAAAAAAAAAACGAAGACCATAACATAGTCCTAAAAATTGACCAATCAACTGAATCGAAGCACAAGCTTACATCTTTTCTCATGATACTGCTCAACACACATAAAATGTTATTACTCTTTCAAAACACATTTTTTAAATGTTACCTGGCATGATCCACTTTACGTGCATTTTTCTTCACTTTAGTGGGAGAATCAATTTTTACTCCAAGGCTTCTTAGCTGCTTAATAGTTGCATTAAGGACACAATCTTTGTCTACCAGTGCTGAATCTTGTATTTTTTTCTTTTTTTGGTAAACATTCTCAGTTCTGGTACATTCGTGGCTAATTATTACTGCATTGGCAGATGGCTGCTCAGTTTCTTGGGAGGAGTTATTTAATAGCTGGTTCACTTGACCCTGAACAAAAGAAAAAGGACACTGTGAAAAAACCACTATCGAGGGAGGCTGTGACACAGCAGGCTGTCACCTGGGGCAGCAGCATCCCATACTGCTCCACATTTTCATTTTTTAGATTTATTTATTTTTTTTTTATTGGGAGAGCAGATTTACAGAGAAAAGTCAGAGAGAAAGATCTTCTATCTGCTGGTTCATTCCCCAAATGGCCGCAGCGGCTGGAGATGAGCTGATCTGAAACCAGGAGCTTCTTCCAGCTCTCCCAAGGGGGTGTAGGATCTCAAGGTTTTAGACCATTCTCCACTGCTTTTCCAGGCCACAAGTAGGGAGCTGGATGGGAAGTGCAGCAGCTGGGACACAAACTGGAGCTCATATGGTATGTCAGGGTTTGTAGGCAGAGAATTAGCCAGTTGAGTCATCAGACTAGCCCTTAGCTGCTCCATTTGCAATCCAGCTCACTCCTAATGTACTTGGAATTGAAGGATGATCCAAGTGCATCGGTTCCTGTCACCTACATGAGACCTGAACGAAGTTCAGCAGGCTGGCCTACCTCAGCCTGCTGTAGGCAGTGAATAGCAAATTAAAGATTGTTCTCAGTCGCTCCTTCTCTCTTTGTGACTCCACCTTTCAAATCAATAAATCTTAAATACACACACTACTATTGACAATCTTAGGATAAGAGCTAAACAATACCAAAAGGAAGGGCAGCAAAAAGCAAAATATGTGCATGAGCACGCTTTACTTGACTGATTTACTTATTTGAAAGAGAGTGGATGGGGAGAGACAGGGAGATAGAATTCTTCTATCCCTGGTTTACTGGCTGGACCCAACAGCCAGGTCTAGGCCAGGAACAGGAAGCAGGAACTCCTTCCTGGCGTTTCACATGGGTGGCAGGGGCCTAAGCACCTGGACCATCTTCTATTGACTTCCTAGTGCACCAGAAGGAAGCTTCATTGGAAGCAGAGCAGCTGGGGCACCAACCAGCAGACACAGCACTCCAGCACTGCAACTCCAGCACTGCAAGCAGCAGCTCAACGCTCTACACCACAATGCTGCACCCCTCCTCTTTTTAAAACCTCCTTATCCATGATTCCAACCTTTTTTGTTGTTGTTTTATTTTAAAGATTGTTTTTTTTATTTATTACAATGGCAGAATGACAGGGAGAGTGTGAGAGAAGTCTGCCATGTACTATTTCATTGCCCAAAAGGCTTCAACAAACAGGTGCAGGTCAGGCCAAAGTCAAAAGCTAGAACTCCATGGATTTTCTTCCACGTAGATGCCAGGGCCCAATTTCCTGAACCATTTTCTACTGTTCTCCTAGCTGTACTCGCAGGAAACTGGATGGAACCAGAATAGTCAGGACTTACAAGAAACTTGCTGTGCCATAATGCCACCCTCAAAACATCACCATGTCAAGTTACAACATTTCAGGCCCAGCTCAGCGGTCTAGCAGCTAACAGGGTGGAAATGTTAGAAGGGATCAAGATAGGATAAATTTTAAAACTAAAATATAATATAAGTATAGAACACCTCAAGGTAATATCCCTTGAAACAGTGAAACAGTTGAACTTGAGGACCCAGCATGGTAGCCTAGTGGCTGAAGTCCTAGCCTTGCACACACTGGGGTCCCATATGGGTACCAATTCTAATCCCAGTGGCTCTGCTTCATATCCAGCTCCCTGCTTGTGGCCTGGGAGAGCAGTCGAGGACAGCCCAAAGCCTTGGGTTCCTGCACCTACGGGGAAGACCTGGAAGAAGCTCCTGGCTCTTGGCTTCGGATCAACTCAGCTTCAGCCACTGTAGCTACTTGGGGGAGTGAATCATCGGATAGAAGGTCTTCCTTGGCATCTCTCCTCTTCTCTGAATATCTGACTTTGCAATAAAACTAAGTAAACCTTAAAAAAAAAATTACTCACGTTTCAAGTACATTTAAAATATCAGGGAGTTTTAAGGAAAGAAGCCCATCTTCATGATCTCATCAAGCTCCAGAGCAGTCAGAACATTCAGCATTTGTTGACTTTAAAGCCAACGCATTTAAAAGCACTTGGGTATTCCTGCCTCGTGTTTAAGGCCTCTTGTAAAATTCTTTAAACATTATTTCTACATAATGAATTTACTTGAAAAACACATATAGGTCAGAGTAATAAATAACATCATCTTTATATAACTTTCGGAACTGAGCTCCCTTCTCTCCTTTTTGTTTAGTTTTTATTTTTTTAATTTTCTCCAATGTGAGAGAAATGACAGAAAATTCCAAGCTGGGAACTCGCTCCACACCAGATTTTCTAAGAGTCAGAATAACCTGTGACACTAGGCTGCCATGTGCAATGCTAGCAACTCATATGGGAGCTGGCTGTTCCACTTCCCATCCAGCGCCCTGCCCATGGCCTGGGAAAGCAGTAGAGGACGGCCCAAAGCCTTGGGATCCTGCACCCATGTGGGAGACCCAGAGGAAGCTCCAGGTTCCTGCCTTTCGATCAGCCCAGCTCTGGCCACTGCAGCCACTTTGGGAGTAAAGCAGCAAATGAAAGATACCTCTCCGTCTCCCTTTCTATGTAAAAATAAACTAAAAATATATAAAACATTAAGTAAAAAGAAAAAAGCAAGAAATTAAATGCTCTAAAAATCAACGTCAGCCAGGGTTCTTTCACTTCACAAGTCTCAGTTCAGAATCCAGCTGTTCCAGGACGCCAGTCCCCCGGGCAGAATGACCCCTTCACTGGGCTCACTGTCACATCACTTCCCAGCCCACCTCGCAACTGCCGCTAGTCCCCAGGGGTTATGTTCTTTCAGTTATCATGGACACAAACTGTCAAACTCGCCTCTATATTATCTACTTATATAGTCTACCTTTATACACTAAGCTAAATATTTAATAAACTTGTACTTACCTAAAATAATTAAACACTATGATAAATATTGCACTACTTTCCAATTTTCATACTTTCTGTGAACTGCTGCTTATTTTCTGCTACAAACTTTAATTTGAACTTAGCACAAAAACAATACATTTTAAAAATAAGGTTTTACAGGCCCAGTGCTGTGGCCTAGTAGCTGAAGTCCTCGCCTTGAATGCACCAGGATCCCATGTGGGCGTTGGTTCTAATCCCAGCAGCCCCACTTCCCATCCGGCTCTCTGCTTGTGGCCTAGGAAATCAGTCGAGGAAAGCCCAAAGCCCTGGGACCCTGCACCCATGTGGGAGACCTGGAGGAAGCTCCTGGCTCCTGGCTTCGGATCAACTCAGCTTCAGCCGTGCAGTCACTTGGGGAGTGAATCATTAGAGGACGATCTTCCTCTCTGACTCTCCTCTTCTCTGTATATCTGACTTTGCAATAAAAATAAATCTTCAAAAAAGATGCAAAGTTCTACCTTTTCTTTTTTCTTCCTTATTTATATTTCTACTTTTTAAAAGTTCTATATTTTCTTACCAATAATTCCTCATAAATTTTTTGGTTCTCTGACAGTCCGTGTCCCTGTAGCAAGGGTTGCGCTCCTTGCTCGGTTTTCATCTCCTGAGATGTTTCAGGGTCGTTGGCGCCCTCTGTTGGTCGTGTCTGTAAGCACATGTTCGCACTATCTGCAAGCGGGGCATTAGGAAAGCCGGCCTGCACCTCAGGTTCCTTCCTTTTACTCGGGCAGGAGCTGTTTGAAAGGATGTATAAGATATCAGTTACCAAGCACCTTTAACACATGGGTGAAATTCAGCAGCGCAGGAAGAGAAGGGTAAGATTCAATTGACGTACAGCTTGTATTTTCAACTCTTTGTGATACCATGTAAATATTCCATCCTAAAAAGCTTCATTTAAACTGAACCATAAAACTTTTAAGGTTATGTTATCGATAACAGACTTAAGAAAACTTTCTCTGAAGGCTGGAAAACACCATATCACCACCTGATCTTGATGTATGAAAAGATTCTCGATTATCTTTTTTAAAAAGCTGTAATATATGTGCCCCTTCAAATTTTAAAATATCTAAAATCTATCTCAAGTAAGGTCGATAACCTGCCATTTACAACCACTTTATATATTTGATGGTATTTATTCTTTATGGTTTCAGTGGTATACAGTAAGCATTTATTAGTTTCAAAATAAAAAAAAACTATAATAGCTAGAGAACACAGTGCTAAAAAATACATTTTCTGTTAGAATACTACTCCGCGGTTACTCTAAAACAGAGAGAAAAGCATTAACAATAAATATTAGCTGGTACAAAGCTTACTGTGGGCCAAGTACGATTATTTTATTTTACTTGAAAAGGCAGAGTTAGAGAGATTCCATCTGCTGGTTTATTCCCTAAATGGCTGCCAGGCCAAGCTGAAGGAACTGGTTGCAGAGGCCCAAGAAGTTGGGTTGTTCTCTGCTGCCTTTCCAGGGACCTTAGCAGGCAGCCAGATCCAACCTGGAGCCGCTGGAATGGGAACCAGCGTGCACATGGCTTGCTGGCACTGCAAATGATTTAAGCTGCTGTGCCACAACATGTGCGCCAACCAAGTACAACTTGAAGCATATCACGTTAAAAAAAACAAAACTGTATTAAAGTATATAGTATCTCTGTTAGATGCAAAAATCAGACCATAAGGTGACTAACCTATATGAAGTGTGGAGAAAATAAAAACTGGGGGCTGACAGGTGGCTTAACAGGCTATTCCTCTGCCTCGCAGTGCCGGAAGCCCACACAGGTGCCAAATATGTGTCCCAGCTGCTCCGGACATTTGGAGAGTGAATTAGCAGATGCAACATTTTTATCTCTGTCTCTCTTCCTGTCTCTAACGCTACAATTCATCTAAATCAAATAAATCATCTAAAGAAAAAAGGCTCAGGCCTGGCACTGTAGCCTAGTGGCTAAAGTCCTCCCTTTGCATGCACCGGGATCCCATATACGTGCCAGTTTGTGTCCAACTACCCCCACTTCCCATCTAGCTCTCTACTTATGGCCTGGGAAAGCAATCAAAGATGGACCAAGGCCTTGGACCCTGCACCCGAGTGGGAGATCCAAAAGAAACTCCTGGCTCCTGGCTTCAGATTGGCTCAGTTGTGCCCACTGTGGCCACTTGGGGAATGAATCAATGGATGGAAGCGTTTCCTCTGTCTCTCCTCTTTGTATATCTGAATTCCCAATAAAAAAATAACTTGTAAAAAAAAAATAAGAAATACTAAATAAATTTTAAATAGCTGAAGCATTTCTAGAGATGTAATTCCTAACAATACAAATACACTGAACTTTACTGGACTGTACACTTAAAAAAGGTTAAGATGATAAATTTTTTTTCAAGATTTGTTTTATTTGAAAGGCAGATTCACAGAGAGAAGGAAATACAGAGAGAAAGACCTTCACCTGCTGGTTCACTCTAAAAGTGGCTGCAATTGCTCCCTGTGTGTGGCCTGGAAAAGCAGTCGAGGACGGCCCAAAACCTTGGGACCCTGCACCTGCGTGGGAGACCCAAAGAAGTTCCTGGTTCCTGGCTTCGGATCCACGCAGCACCGGCCATTGCGCTCACTTGGGGAGTGAATCATCGGACGCAAGATCTTCCTCTCTGTCTCTCCTCCTCTGTATACCTGACTTTGTAATAAAAATAAATAAATCTTAAAAAAAGAAATCTTAAAAAAAAAAAAAAGGCTGCAATGGCTGGAGTTGAGCCGATCTGAAAGCAGGAGCCAGGAGCTTCTGCCCAGTCTCTCTGGCAGGTGTAGGGTTCCAAAGTGTTGGGATACCCTCTACTGCTTTCCTAGGCCATTAGTAGCAAGCTGGATCAAAGGTTGAGACAAAAATGGGCACCCATATGGGATTACATAGAGCATTCCAGTAATGGGAGGTGTAGGATTAGCCAACTAAGCCTACGTCCCAAGATGACAAATTTTATGCTAGATGCTTTTTATCTTAATTTAGAAAATAAGAGACAAACCCCAGCAGATATCTCTTTTTTGCCTTTCAAATAAATTAATTAAAAAGGGAAGATACAGGTTTGTGTCTGAAAAATACTGGAAACAATCCAAATAGGAGAGTGGTTCATTAAATTATGATACAGCTATGCAGCTATAAAAAAAGATGTCTAGTAGCTGAGCGATTTACAACAAATACTGTTAAAACAGCAAAATTCAAAAGAGTGTCTATGGTATGCTACTGCCTACACTTCAGAAAAGAAAGGAGATAAGTGGCTTGCACTGTGGCAAAGGACTTGCAGCACTGGCATCCAAGAGGGTCAGTTCGAGTCTGATGCTCCACTTCCAACCCAGCTTCCTGTTGAGGCACTTCCAGAGGACGGCCCAGGTGCTTGGACCTTACACCTTTCTGGGAGACCCAGAAAAAGCTCCTGGTTCTGAAAAGGCACAGCTCCTGCTGCTGTGACCATCTAGAGAAAGAACCAATGGGTGGAAAATCTCACTCTCCCTGTCCTCCTCTGTCTTCCAAAGAAGTAAATTATAAAAATAATATAATAAGGGTACTTCAAATAGTCTGTGTACAAAGAGATTACTACATGTCTATTTTAGTAAAATATTTTTTAAAATGTTAATAATAAACACAATTCATGAACATTTTCAAGACCTCCACATATGCATGAGTTTGAAAAACTTTTTGCACCCAAATTGACTTATCATTCAATTATTTTCCATGAACATTCTGAAGTATTCTTACCTGTGCTCATTTACAAAAAGTAAATTCAGGAAGGCTAAGTAAAAAATTATGAGCTAATCTACATGTAAATGAGATGGGTGGGAAAAGTTGGAAAGAAGGTGATTTGAGAATAAGGGGCCATGGATGAGAAGTAACTCTTCTCTAACCATATATCTTCCCTGCCCCATAAATGAAACCAACCAGAATGTGAAGGGAACCAAAATGGAATATAACAGTAACAAGCGAACCTGATGGCATTACAAATACTATAACCACAGAGAAGAAAAGTGGAGGAAACCACCAGCCTAAACAACTCTAGAAACAGTACTATGACTGAATATGGCAAGATTAAAGATGAAAAATTATAACCCAAATATTATGCTCTAGTTACTCTGTTGCAAAATTCTCAGCTTTAAAATGAGTTTTAATTCCATTATGTCATAAATTGTTACTGATGTAATGTCGGGGCTTTTAATTGATTGGGATGATACTCTGTCGGCTCTACCTTCAGACCAGAGATGGTCTCCCCAAGAAACCGTTGAACTTATCTGGACAATAAGATGCTGGACTCTGTGCTTTGTAGATACTTGCAATGAAAGAATTTCAACTGAATTTGAACTGTGGTAATGCAACAAGGTGGAAGAATCCATCATGGGGGGGGGCAGTTGGGGAGGGAAGGGGGGAATTCCAGTGCCTATAAAACTGTGTCACATAATGCAGTGTAATCAATTTTAAAAAATGAGTTTTGTTATCAGCTGGTTCACTCCACAAAGGCCCACATCAACGAGGAATGGGCCATGCGAAAGCCAGAAGCCAGGACTCAAGCTAGGTTTCTCTCACAGTTGGTAGTGACCCTAGTACCCAGGTCATTACAAGCTCTTGCCCAGAATTTACATCAGCAGGAAGCGGGATTGGAAGCATTGAAGCTCCCATATGAACTATAGTTCTGAAACTATTTCACGTACACAAAAGGTAGAGCAAATAGGACCGAGAGTAATGGCTCAATGGCTCAATCCACCCCTTGCAAGCTCTGGGATCCGAAATGGACACTAGTTCATGTCCTGACCATTCCGCTTCCCATCCAGCTCCCTGCTGGTGTCTTTGGAAAGCAGTCAAGGAACAGCTCAAAGCTCTGGGATCCTGTACCCATGGGGTTAACCCAAAAGAAGCTCATGGCTTCAGATCAGCTCAGCTCTGGCTACTGTGGTCACTTGGGAAGTGAAACAGTGGATGCAAGATCTTTCTCTGTCTCTCCTCTTTATAAATCTGCCTTTCAAATAAAAATAAGTAAATTGTTTCTATTTTTTTTAAGTGTCTTAAACTGGCACTCTGATCTGGGATGCTTACGCTCCAACTCGTAGCTTAATACACTGTGCCACAATGCTGGCCCAAAGGCATACTGGTCTTAAAATCAGGAAAGAGTGTTCCTAATATCACTTTTATCTCCTTTCTTATCTGCACTTACGGACAAAAAAAAAAAAAAAAAAAAGGATCCAGTGTAATAGCCTAGTGGATAAATCTTCACCTTGCACATGTCAGGATCCCAAATGGGTGCCAGTTTGTGTCCCAGCTGCTACACTTCCCCATTCTGCTCCTTGCTGGTGGCCTGGGAAAGCAGTAGAGGATGACCCAAAGTCTTGGGGCCCTGTACCCACATGGGAGACCCAGAAGGAGCTCATAGCTTCTGGCTTTGGTTTGACTCAGCTCCGGCTATTGTGACTACTTGGGGAGTGAACCAGTGGACAGAAGATCTTTTCTCTGCAAATCTGTCCTTCCAATAAAAATAGATAAATCTTAAAAAAAAAAAAAAAGACATAAGTAAAATCTAATCTCAAAAGAATATTCATGCCCTAATTAACTACGTAAAGATCGTAAAAAAATTTTAATATATTATTTATTTATTTATTTTTTAAAAATTTATTTTTATTGGAAAGTCAGATATACAGAGAGAGGAGGAGAGACAGAGAGGAAGATTTTCCGTCCGATGATTCACTCCCCAAGTGAGCGCAACAGCCGGTGCTATGCCG